CTTGAGCTGCGCTTCTTCGTATCTGTCCCGTTTGATCATCTCGGGCTCAGACAAGCCGCTGTGCTGCTTGACGCACCCGCTCTGAGGGCCCTCACAATTACGTGGGTCACGCGAGTATGCATAACACACCATATTGCTCTGCCGTTCCCGCGAGGTCTCCGATTGACTTCTCGTCCACGACTGCGTCGCATTCGAGTTGCCAAATTTATTCGACGGGGTCGAGGAGCGAGGTCTGTCCTTTCCTTTTGGACCTCTGTTGCCAGATCTCCCGCCCCTACCTCTGCGGTTCTTCTTTCCGCGGGCTGCCCTTTGATCGCCGCCCGTTTCCGGATGAGCCGGTGCGGCCGGTGTCTTAGGCATCCTGTGACAATGGGGGCAACCTTGCCCCGCTTCGGGGCATTTCTTGCCTTGCTTCACAAATTTGCAGGTCGTCTCGGACCATGAAACCGTCCGCTTGCCCTCCTGTCCGTCGGCATTCCCAATCTGTGCGCTGTCGCCGCCGTGGCGGAGGCCCGTCGCCCACCGCCGCCACCCTCATTCATTCCACCTGCAAGGCGAGCCTGCCTGTTTCTAGAATTGAGGGTCGATTCATCCTCAGATACTGCCCACTTTTTTCCAGCGCGCATCACGAGCGACTCGACCTGGTGCAACAGCCACTGCTAAGAGCGCATTCCTGTACCTGGAGGATCTGTCGACAACTCATGCCAGTGCATTGCGTACTCAGGCCTCGGAACCTGTTTAATGCGTTCGTAGAAATGCGCACGCGTTGAAACTTGCATGTCGTTCGACGGTTCCCTGGCGCCATGCAAGTCTCGATGGCGCTCCATCCAGTCACGGTAGAAATGGTATAAATCCTGACTGGGCTTCTGTCGGTCAATCGTTATCATAAACATGTCGCGACATATCCAATGTTGTCCGTTTCCGACCTGACAGATCACCAAGCGCATATGGCGCGACTCATTTCTCGGCCCGTAAGAAGACGCAACTCTATCTGACATGAATGCCCCATGCGGTTGATTTGCGAAAGGGAAAAAAGTGCGCTGCGCGGACAGATTGCGATTGCGCCTCATCTTTGCGAACTTTTCGACCAAATTTGTCGCGATCACCATATCAAGGCGCATCGACGCCCTGGAGTCCCGAAGTCTTTCCTTCGGCACCTTGGGCCCCATTGCTTCAGTAACCCACGTTTGTGCCGCCTTGACATCATGCCATGACCCAGCAACTGCTCTAATGCAATGATGTTTCCATTCACGTCGTGCCTGGGCACTCGGGATGTCTATTGATTATTCCCAAAACTTCTCCAATTCGCATCACTTTGGCTGGTATTGAACGGTTGCGTAGTTGGGTCATTGCGACCATTCGGCCCCCCGCCGCCATCTCCGTCTGGATCGCCTCCGCCACCAGGCCCCCCAGGTGGGCCCTTGGGTGGCTTTGGCTTGCCCGTCTCGTCAAATTGTATGGCGACAATCATGCGGGTACTGGGCGCTATGCTGCGATCATCTCTCTGGTCGTCGTCGCGCCCGCCCGGTTCCCCGCCTCCTTCTCCAGTTGCGGCTGGGCCGATGGCGGATCGAAGGCGACCGGGCAAATCGAAGTCGTCGGGGGGGGGGGGCCTGGAATTGTAGCGTTGAATGGGACATTCACAGGGCTCCCCCTAACGTACTCTTGCGCCGAACCTGCATTAGCATCGAGAAACTTCATCAGCTGGCCCCGGACTGAAATGCGACTTTGCGAGAGAATGCGCGGGCGCGGGCGGAGCTGTCAATAGAGGCATTTGATCAAAATCTGATCTGCTCGATTTCAATATCGGCATGCCCATCGGATCGGCGAGATTGCTGACTTTTCGTTCCGACCGACCTATGGGGGCAAGCAGACATACCTCGCTTTTGACCACCCTCGCTTCCAAGATGTACCAAGCGACGCCAAACTACGGCCTGCACTGGCTAGGCCGCTTGACGAGAAGGTGCGTGGTATGACTTGGTTTTGCGTGGAAGCGAAAGCGGGGTAGGTAACTCGCGCTCTGACCACCGTCTTTCGGCGCATCCAAGCGGCCCGTTGCCGTCTCATCAGGGTCGCCATTGGCGCGGGGAGAATTGCGCGCGCCCAACGGCCCCCCCCCTTTCTCGAGATCGCCCTGTCGCCCGAACTCTTTGTTCCAGGCACTCCGCGCGCCTTTTGGAAATCATGCCCGGGGGGCCCCCGCGCGCGGGCTGCGAACGCCCTGTGCATATCTCGACGAAAGGTTCCAAACCAACGTGACCGCGATGACCTGCGTTGCCCATTGGTGTCTGAGCCTGCTCGCCATCGTCCCGCGAGCAGGGCGAGCAGTAGTCGGGCGCGGAGGTGGTTCAACATGCATCGGCTGTGCCGGCGTCGATCCAAACCTCTCAGTTGGGCCCGCGCCTGCCGGCGAAGCCTAAGCGCAAACGCAGCCAGCGTCAAAACTTGCGCGGCGGGTTGCCCGGCTGCCCGAGCTTTGTCCCGCGACCCCCGGTCCATCCGATGCTGTTCCAGGTCAGATCTTAGCCTTCTGTTCTCTTCACTTACTGCGCGAGCGGCAAGGACATGATGCTTCATTTGCTCATCTGCTTGCCCTTTCAGATGGCCCCAGGCCTCGGCCATGTTCCTTTGGTCCTCACTTCTGATTGCTTGTGCCTTCTGCTCATTTTCTCGAATGGCTCGCAGAGCTTCCGATTCGCTTCTCCACCCTCGAATCTAGCAGCTTCGAGCTGGTTGCGGAGCTCCTGATTGTCACTTGCTGCTTGCTCTCGGGCTTCTGTCTCTCCTTCCCTCCTGGCAGCGTCAGCCATCTCTGTTTTCGGCTTTTCTTTCTCAGCCTGTCGATGAGAAGCTGACTACATTTGTCCGGCCATATGTTGAATTTCTCTTTTCTCGTTCTCCACCTGTGCAAGACGCCGCTGAGCCGCGTCCGTAATTCCCGCTGCGCTACCTTCTGCTTGCTGCGTCCGTCTCTGCGCATCTTCCACAATGACAATTCTCTCTTGCTAAACCTTCTGTGACATTGCCTGTCTCTCTGCCTCGGATTATGCTGGCGCGCGCTCGGCTTCCTCACTGGCCCTCTTATCCACTTGTGCCTCCAGGATAATTTGCTGCACATGTGCACTCGCAGCTCTCAATTGTTCTCGAACCTGTCTCTGTTTCTCTTTCCATTCTAATGTGACGACAGCTGTGCTTCCCCGACCCGATGCATTCACCGCGAAGCCATGCGCGGCTACACTTGGGACATACATTCGGACAGTGTGAGCATGCAGGCCTAGACACGCCCCCCCCCCCCCGGTTCGTGTGCTTTTCCCGGGCGCCGGTTCTCCGCCCGATACGGCGGGCGCCTGAATCCGGCATCCCAGCGAATCTCCCTCGTCGAGAAACTGCTGGTGGTCCTCTTTGACGATCGCCGAAGTGACTCACGGACATTGAATCCTCTGGAACTGGAGCGTCCGACCCTGGGGGCCTTCCTGTGACCCCTGCTGGAGGCAGGGGCATGCTGTCCCCTTGTCCTTACACCCTTATTAATGAAATCAAGCTCATTTCTTACGTCCTGGATCACCAGCTCATCAAGCTCTGGCGCCCTGTCCCTGCTAGACCTCGTAAATGTGAATTCTGGTCGATGAAAGCCTTCCAGCAAAGGGGGAGCATTTAGGTTGTCATCCTCATTCTCAGTTTTTTTATTATTATTATATGTGTATATGGAATTGTACCTGCAGGCTCGCTTGTACGCCTGACTGCGCGAGAGACGTCGGGCGAGTTCGACATCGGCTGAACCGACGAACTCTTGCCTCGGTCTGGGCTTCTTCCATCCCCAAAATCATCGTCCAAATCAAGAATGCTCAAGTGTCTCGCTCTCAGACAGGTCTGCGCCTGGGGCGAGCCCGTCAGACCCATCAGGGATGGGGGCTATGATGATGCGATGGGCAGGCGAGGTATGAAAATTGTGTGTATTCTTCATTCCCCTCAATCGAATGCGAACTGTCCCTATCCGATTGTAATTCGCCCACTTCCTCCCCCAAACCATGAATCACAAATTGCGCAGCTTGTTCAGTGTTACAATTAGCTTCATATAGCGTTTCTCTGGGTATGCGTTCCAACAATTTCTCCACCTCATGGTCTAGGTCAATCGACGGTTGGGAACTCGGGTGAAATCGCACCAAATCAGACGGCCCCCCGGCGGAAATTCTGGCTGTGCCATACCTCCCGCCCGGGGCTTGTTCCCTTTCTACTGTCATCGAATCAACAGGATAATCCCCTGCTGTTAAATCAAGCGAAGCCTTTGACTCTTGCCTTCTCGGGGAGCGGAGAGAATGACGTCGCCTCGTAGATGCGTCTACATCATCAATACGCTCGGAACGATATCCATATTATTATTTTTTTATGAGTGTTCCTTCCTGTGATCTCATGCCTTGCGAAGCTAACGAACGGCTGTGCCGTCGTTTCGGCTGATAACCAGTCCGTTGCCTGAATATTCGCAATTCCTGCGAGATGTTCTGCTGAAATATCATGGTCAGTGGGCTTCGCTGATGGCATGGGAAGAAAGGACAATGCCACTTAGTTAACAATAGGGTAATCCTGAAGGGAGGAGGCCGGCCCGCCGGCCGACGCACGCGCGCGCGCCGCAGGCTCGTTCCTTTTCTGTTTCCCTAGAGCCAAACAGCTGCAGGTGACAACATCCAAGTCGGAAAGAGAGGCAGACAGTGCAAGCAAAGCTAGAGAGCAGGACGAGCAGCAGAGCGGTGGTGCGGAAGGAGTGCATTGACTCATCGGCGCACATGAACACGTGTACTTGAAGGGGTCCTCAGGCACACAAATAAATAGACTCGAATCCACGGATTCCCCATATTTTCGAATGTTTTGCTGGGTTTCTGTTTCCCCCCCGACCTTCTCATGGTTTCTTATATTTTCCTGGGAATCGACGATTAATTGTGTCTGTGTGTTTCTGCCCTCCTGAGTGTTGCTCTCCCCTGGGCCTATTCTATTCGCCCCTGTAGTCGCCTCTGACGCCTTGCTTGCTCGCCGCCCAGCGAGCCCAGCGGCCCGAGGCGCTGTCGGAACGGCCAGCCGCCGTGCACCGAGGCACGCAACCCCGAGGCACGGAGCGGCAGGCCACCGGGTCAGATTCCGATGCAATCCTCTGCCATGTGCGGAAAGCTGCAGTTTTGGACGCCCGAAAAGGATACGGAAAAAAATTGCACACTGCCCGACAGCACGTGTTGTCCCAAACCAACAGCGGCCGCTGTTGGGCAGGCGGCCTTCTGTCTCAAATAGACACAGGCCGCGGCGGCGCGGACAGCGAGTCCTGTTCAAAATGAACAGGAACTGCCGTTGGGCATTGTACCCATTCTTTCCGTACCCATGTCGGTCGTCCCGAGCAGTGCTCTTCGCGACGTCCAGAACCTCCAATTTCCGGCGTTCCCAGCCTTCCAAATTCCCTGTTCCGGGGCCAAGCGGGTCCCACAGCGGGCCATAGGGGGGCCCCAGGAACCCCCCGGAACGGCGCACGAGTCCTCATAATTATTATCCTCCTTACTTTTCTGCACACTTGCTTCTCGCGGCGGGTTCCTACGCTTCCTTGGGATTTGGCGGCTTCCGCGCTCGCCGTCCAAGATTGAACAGGGACCGACCGTGCCAGCATTCCTGTAGTCATACCACGAAGCGTTCTTGGAACCCAACAATGTTCTGAGAACAAAAACAATGTTCTTAGAACACTAACCCAGTGTGTTAAAACAAGACCGTCCCGGCCAGAAATGTTCTAAGAACATTTCGTGGAGATCTCAAAAGGTTCTTAGAATATTGTTTGGTAGGGCTATAGACGAGCCAGGACGTTTCGCCACTGCTTGACCAGAATCGCGAGCCTTGAGAACGACCCCTCGACGTGCAGCCAGGGCTCTACCCCTGAGTCTGTTTCCGCGGGGTGCCGGCAGAGGACGGGAGGGTGGAGGGGCAGGGGATGCAGCGGCGGCGTGATCTGGCGAGGGTCGGAGCGATGACGGGGAGGAGCTCTGCGCTCGCGAATCCGAGAGAAGGCCGAATCCGCGAGAAGGCCGAATCAACGTCCCCTCGACGCGTTTCGCTCGTATTTTCGACGAACAGTTCATGCTTGGGGTAGGTCAATTCTGTAAGCGATCCCCGACTCGAATCCCTGCTGGTGCCCGCTGAGCGTCCGTGGCGGCCTCCTGAGCACCTCGCTCCCGTGGCGGGGCCCTGCGCCTCCTGGGAAGGAGTCCTTCCCCGAAGCGCGCGCGGGCAGGGGCGAGCCTGGAGTGCGGCCCGTCGACCTGCAACTGGGCCCCCAGGAAAAAAGACGCCGGGGCTCGACCCCAGCGTCCGTCTCTCGGGTCGGGCGAAAGGGGGGGATAGCAAAGGGGGGGTTTGAGAATCAGATTTTCCCGGCGCCTCCCGGCGCCGGAGGCGGCTATGTATCGAGGAATGGGCCCCTCGGTGAGGCCAAAACTAGCTGCATGCAGCAAATTTGGTAACCCCCCCTTTCCCAATCCCCCCCTTTCGTCAGGCCCGAGTCTCCGCGGGGTGCTGGCAGAGGAACACAGGATACAGGGTGGACAAGCACGAGCTGGTGTGAGGACGGGGAGGAACTCTGCGCTCGCGAGTCCGCGAGAAGGCCGAGTCTTGGTCCCACTGCTGGAGACATGCGCCCGTCGACCTGCAACTGGGCCCCCAGAAAAAAAGCGCCGGGGCTCAACCCCAGCGTCCGTCTCCGCGGGGTGCTGGCAGAGGAACACAGGATACAGGGTGGACAAGCACGAGCTGGTGTGAGGACGGGGAGGAACTCTGCGCTCGCGAGTCCGCGAGAAAGGAAAATATTGAATTCACTGCCAGGGACACGCGGCTCCGCCACGGCCCTGTGTGCGGCTCCTCCTTCCCCGCGCCTCCTCCTCTCCCCCCACCCCCCCTCCTTCTTCGCCCTCCACCTCCTATGAGGGGGTCGCCCCGAACCCGCCCGTCGGCCAGCCCGCAAGATAGGAGTGCCAGCAGAGATCTCCAACGTCAGCCGCTGGCCGCGCTCGACTCCCAGTATTAAGTCGGTCGTGTCCCCCTACAGGCGGATTTTGGAGGGGAGATAAGACATATTCAAACAAAACTCAAACGTAGCAAAACAATAGTCGAAACATCGTCCCCTGACTATTTTGTAAACTATCTTTGAGTATTCCTCCTGACTTAATCCTGGGAGGCGGAAGCCCTCGGCCCCGGCTCCTCGATCGCCGACAGGCGCCTGCAGCCCCCGTTCCGAGCGTGCGCGCGGAGCGATTCGCAAAAAAAATCCCGACGGCCTGCGCGGCCGCGGAGCCCAGGGCTCAACCCCAGCGTCCGTCTCCAAGTGGTGCTGGCATGGGCCTCGAGGCTCCTGACGACGAACCAGAGCAACAGACGCGCTACGACAACCCGAACACTTTTTGGCGTCGGCGGCTACACCGCTCGAAATGCTTAAGAAATCATGGGTTAAGAAATTCATAGTCTCAGATCTTGAATAAAAAACCCAACAATTCTTAAAACAACTTAGGATTTACATTGAAACGTTAAGAATAATCGAGACTCTGGCCGAAAACTCAAGTTTTCTTAAGCATCGCCTAAGGTGTAACTAGGCAGAGTAACTGCGCTAGCGGAAAAACGACAACCCGAACACGTACTTAGCCCAACAACTTGGCCAAACATTGGACCAATGTTCGGCCCCATGGGCGGCTCCGAGGGTCGAGGGTGGCGGTGACTCGACGCAGGCGCCCTCGACAAACGAGGAGCGTGCAGAAAACGGACAACAGCCAAGCAGAAAACGAAGCTAGGGGGCTAGAGGATCATAAACACGACGAGGAGGCGAGGGCCTGGCCTGACAAGCCAGCCCACTCAGATGGCTCTCGGCAGCGTGACAAATCTCGAGCGACCACTGCTTTTGTGCTATCGGAGCCTCACGCGATTTCCCAAGCCATCGAAAGCCGGCCCTGCCCACCTCGGGCCCGCGGGTTATACAACGCCCCGCCGGTCGTCGTCTGCGGCTGGCCCGCGGCGCGGCCCGCGGCCTCGGACTCTGCCCGCCCGCTCACCCGCGTGCCGCCCCCGGAGCTGCTCCTCGGCTGCCCCCTTAGAGCAAATCGCACGGGCGCCTGCTGCACCTCGCCGACAGCGCCCTCCTGGCGCTGCCGGGGTGGGACGCGGCGGGCGCGGGCTCACTGCCGAGCGTTTGGGCCCGCGCACGGGCGTGCGGGCGCGTGGGCCGCCCCGCCTGCTCACTGCCGAGCTGGCTCGGGCCCGCGCGGCACGGGGACCTCGGGCGGCCGGCGAGGTCGGACGGCGTGCCCTCTGGCCGGACGGGCCTGCCCGTGGGACGGGCGATTCCCGGCAAACTGGGGGGCCGCTCGTCCTCGCGGGCCTTCGCGCTGGCCCGGTTGAGTCCCATGCCCGCCTTGGATGATTTCGGGGAATCCTCGAAGAGGTCGGAGGTCGATTCGCTGTCGCTCGTGTGGTCGCTCATTGCCGAACTGCCGGCCAGCTCCGTTCTGGGCAACAGCTCGGGCGGCGTGAACCGGTTCGCAGCGTAACAGCCAGACGTGCTGTTGCCCGTGCGAGGCTTGGAGATCCCCGTGAAGAGCTCCTCCGCCCCTGGAAGGCGGCTGAGAGTCGATGAAGCCGAAGGCTCGGGACAAGGAATCCCCGGGGGCCTACGGATCCTGCCGGCGGGGGGGCCGCTAGGCGGCTGGCGCGGCACGGAGTGATGGAGCCACCTGCCCGCGCCGGGGTGCCCGCGGGTCGTCCTGGGAGCCGAGGGCTGCCTCGGCGCAGGCACCACGCTGGATGCCTCTGCCCAAGCTGCTGCTGGCCTGACGGCCGGGAGACGGGCGCCCGCGAGCCCCGCCATCCTTTCGGGTCTGCTGTGTAGTAGCGCAGAATGCCTACCTCGCAATCTGGGCCAAAAAACGCCTTGAGCCCAAATGGCAACCGTGCTCCACGACTCGTTTTGGCACTCTCTTGAGGCCCTCTTGGGGCTCCCTTGGACTGTCTTGGGGCCCTCTTGGACCGTGTTTGGGGCCTCGTAAGAAGTCTTGGAGCCTCCTTGGGCGCCTCTTGGACCGTCTTGTAGGTTGTCGAGACTGGAAAAGCGAACCTGTTTTTTCCGGAAGGAGGGGCGCGGGTTTTTGCCTCCTGGGGCCCCTTGGGGGGGCTCCTTGGAGGTCTCTTGGGAGCCTCGTGGGGGTCGCTGGCGCATCGTCAGACCATCTGGTGGCGTCTCGGGAAACGCCAGAGCGCCCCACACGCAATGTTGTATGGTCTTGGGCCAGTCTGGGGGGCGTTCTCAGCTGTCCGGGGGGAGGGGGGGGGTTTTGCTGGGGGAGGGGAGGGGGGGGGTCCAGCAGGGTGGGGGGATTTCCGGGGGGGGGGAACCCCAGGTTCCGGAGGAAGAGGGGGAGAATTTTCCACAGTAAAGCGGCGGTGGATCACGCTCTCTCATACATGGAGGTCTATGGGTACAAAGGGGAAAAGGATAAGCCATGGCCCCGCCACTCCTTCGCTACTCTTCCCGAGGGAAGGGAGGCGAGGGGAAACACAAGGCGATTGGCATCACAGGAAAAGCATGCCCTAGACGATACCATGCTCCACCTCCCCTTGGCTTCTCGACAGAACCTCCAGCCCTCAGAATCCAAGGTACGGGCGATTGTCATGTGGCTCGCACAGCTGGTGGACCGTCGATACATGCCCGAACCCTAAGAAATCGACTCGCTGGCGAGCCTCTTGGAATAACGGAAAGAGCGAGGTACGAGTGATGACGTTCTAGTGTGGACCGAATCCCTTAAGGGAGGGGTCCAGGGGAGGGGCGAGGCGGGGGCGCCGGGATGTGAATGGCCGTTTTCGGATTTTCCGTAGTGTTTTTGCATGTTTTTCAGGTTCCCCCCAAAACGGCCCAAGAGCGCTCCAAGAGAGCCCAAGACCGCCCAAGACGGCCCAAGAGACCCCCAAGAGGCCCCCAAGAGGCGCCCAGGGGGCGTGCCAAGAGGGCCCCCAGAGGCCAACATCATTCATTTTCCATAGGAAGACGTGCATTCTTAGCATCTACGGCTTCCCGGCTTTCACGGCGTTGACGACGGCCCAAGAGGCCCCCAAGACCGCCCCAAGACGGCCCAAGAGGCTCCCAAGAGGCCCCCACAACGGCTCCAAAAGGCCCCCAGACGGCCCAAGAGGCGCCCAAGACGGCCCCAGAGGGCCCCAAGACGGCCCCAAGAGGGGGACCACGAACCGAAAAGTCTAGCCTTTCGCCCCGAGACGCTCCCAAGAGGCCCCAAGAGCCCCTCAAGAAGCCCCAAGAGGCCCCCAAGAGGCGTCCCACGAGACCACCAGGAGGCCAAAATCATGGATTTCCCATTCGAAAAAATACATGTTTAGCATACACGGCTTTTCGGTCCACGAGGCCCCAAAGACCGCCCCAAGACGGCCCCAGAGGCTCCCAAGAGGCCCCCAAAACGGCCCCAGAGGGCGCCAAGACGGCCCAAGAAGCGCCCAAGACGGCCCAAGAGGGCCCCAAGACGGCCCCAAGAGGGGGACCACGAGCCGAACAGTCTAACCTTTCGCCCCAAGAAGCTCGCAGGAGGCCCCTAAAGTCCCCCAAGAAGCCCCAAGAGGCCCCCAAGAGGTTCCCAAGAGGCCTCCAAAAGGGCTCCAAAAGGGCCCCAATAGAACTCCCACGACGGCCCAGAGACGCCAACGCAAAAAGCTCTTCACCCCAAGGCTCCCCAGAGCGAACGGTGACGTATACAAGCTGATAAGACCAAGGCTCCCAGCAGAGAGCGGTGACGTAACAAGCTCCTGACACCAAGGCCCAGCCAAGGCTCAGGAACGGGCGGCAACGCAAGAATCTCTGAGCACCAAGGCTCCGCAGAGCGAGGGGTGACGCCACAAGCTCTCAACGCCAAGGCTCCCAGTACGAACGGTGGTGTGAATAATTTCGGCTTCTGTTTCTGAAGCGCTCTTTCCGTTTCCGTGCCGGCCCAGGTCTACACTCACCGTGGGCGTCCAAGCCAACTCAAGTGCCGGCTGCGAGGACAGGTGACGTGCCCGCGCAAACCCGAATCCACCCGCTCATTTTCAAAGACGGCGTGGAGAGAAAAGGCCCCATGGGAAGAGGGAAGCACCGGCCCCCTCCTTCTCTGCCTGGAACTGGGTCCAGCTGGGCTGTCCTGCTGCTCACCTCTGCCCTCTCCTGCCCCGCTCCTCCATACTGCGCGAGGTTGCCGCTCAGTGTCGAACCACCGAATGCTGGCATGCTCAACGTCGGTGTTCCATAAGCACCGTACACCTTGCCAGGTGAGGGGATATTGAGGTCTCCCATGCCCACCAATCGCCACAATCAGTACCACTTGCCCCTTTCTTCTCCTCCTCCTCCCCACTCCTCCTCCTCTCCACTCCTCCTCCTCCCCCCCCTCCTCCTACTCTTCCTCCTCCTCCTCCTCCTCCTCTTCTTCATTCTAAGTATATTCCTGTGCCTCCCCACTCCTCCTCCTCCTCCTCCTCCTCCTCCTCCTCCTCCTCCACCTCCTCTTCCTTCGAATTCTCCATCTCTCCCTCCCTTCTCTCTATTTCTCCTATTTGAGCTCT